GTCGCATCAGGTACCAAACCAAATTTTGAAACCAAGGACAATAAGTTCTTTACAATTTCGGGAACCTCAACATTACTTCTATTAATAAACCACCTGTCGTTATTTTTACATACATTTTATTTGTATTGTTAAAAATCTTCGTGTATGAGAAGATTAATTTTTCTTCGAAATCGTTTAACAGGTCTAACGGTAAACTATCTACAAGCTTACGTTCTATTTGCTTAATACTAGCCTTAATCTTTTTTAAATGATAAAAGGTAATATCGATTTCAAAATTAAGTACTTTTACCGCCAACCCATCATTAAATTCACGAATCCTTCCAGTGATTGTAGCTCTGTCTCCAAACATTAACGCTTTTCATGCCGTTCTTGACGTGTGTCGGTATTAATACATGTGGTCGATACTTGAGTAAGAAGTGTTTTTTATTATGTAGTTTGGCTAATCTGGTGTTAAGGTTTATCTTTGTCTTTAATAACTAAACAGCTTGATGTCCATAAGACGTCGTTATCCAAAAAACCCATTAGGAAATACGTGGAAAAGAATCTTGGTCGTTACAATATAATAAATGTGGACAATCTTGGGAATTGACCATACGCTTTCGGAACAATTTTATTCCTTCTTCAGGGCAAAACTAATCAATTAAAACAAAACAAGGCCAAGACTTCCAATTAAAAAAAAATTAAAATTGAACAATAGGCTTAGGTTATGTATTTGGTTTTTTATGGTTCCATTTGGAGGTATTTTCCACGTATTTCTTGTAAAAGTTTATTTCACGGTTTATTTAATTATAAATCTTTTTGGCCATAATTTTTGCACCTTATTTTCAAGTATAATACCTCCCCTTTCGAATCCCCGCGGCACCTGAGAGTTCATATTTCAAACGTAATTTACAAATTACCGAGGTGGCACACGGAGGTTTCATAAAGTCGGGAAGCCCTACCCCAGGTCCTTTTGCACCACCAGACTCGTATTTCGCCTAATCTCGAGTAACAGGGAAAAATAAGAGAGAAAGGACGGCAGCTACGTGTACAATTACCTTACCTTTAGTCCTTTGCATGTTTTTAATGGCTTTCTTTATGGGTTTTCCTTTTTATCATTTATATTTTTTTCTTTCTTTTTTCGTAAAGATATCAAAAAAAAAAAAATTGTATAAAAAGTAAATGTTAAATCATGTTGGATTATTTTAGGTGTTAAAGATTGATCTAGATTCCGAGTAAGGCTTTGATCGAAAATTGAAAACTGTCGACATGAATGGAGGGACGTCGCGACGCCCTGGACGCGTGTCATGCTGGGAACACCGCCGGTGGCGGATTGTTGGTGTAAATTAAATCTTGCGCGCGACTGTCAGCCGCACAGCCACGTCCGTAAATAATAATGTACATAATTAAATCGACGGCCAATATTCGGGTAGCGGCCCCACGTGAATGGGGCGTTCCATTTATCAGGCCGCGCCCGGATCCGGATCGGCGTTGCTGTAAACACGGTATTAATTCGGTGTCAGTTTCATCAGATACCATGAATTATCGTTGGTGATATTTTTGCGTCACACACACGACTCCTGTCCGGATGGTAAAACTACCTACTCTTCGTCTAAATTAGAATCCCTTAATAAACGAGCCGCTGGTAGAAAATATTTATGCGTCGTGTAACGAACATTTCGCGGAGAGCTAATGGAAAATACAGAAAAAACCGAATGTTCACTCAAAAACAAATCCTCTTACCGTGGTGTCCGGGCCGCGCGAAAGTGGCACGCGCCCCTCGCTCACCCTCGACGCTCTTTTTTCTCTCTTCCCTTTCCGGGAGAGCCATGCTGGAAGAAAGCTTCTTTTGCTTACAAAGCGCGTTATTACTCGTTACCTGCATTCGCTATACCCATCAGGGCCGAGTTCAAAGGATGTGCGAGGGCGCGCTCATTTTTAAAATGCTTATTTTGTCGGCCGTTACCGCGGCCAGGGCGCTAGTAGTACCTGGATGGCGGTGCCTTTTATCTTCGGACCGAGAGGTGGATTCCAATTTACACATTGATATAGGCTACGCGTTTGGCGTCGGTCCCACTAACGGAATAGAATAAATTTCGCGGGCGTCAGCTTTTGACAAAGAAGCGAAAAAATGCTCGTCGAACAATATAAATTCAAATAAGAGTAAAGCTTATTGTTACAACGTAATGAAAATCAACTGCTAATGAATAGCCGTTTTTTATTTATTTTTTTTTTGCATTTGCGAAGAATACAATGGAAGTCATACCTTTTCATGGTATAAAAAAAACGGTTTAATTAAAATGTTCACCATGTATTGATGGAAAAATATATATTTTAAAAGCGTCATTAAAAGTTTCTAAAAAATAATGAGAATAGCAAAAAATAGCCCCAGACCCTATCACAAAAATCAACATCAAATGAAGGTGATGAATCCATTCAACAGAACATGGGACATTATCAACCAACCTCTATGAACTCCTACAAAATGTGTACCGAGATGTAAATGTTGTAGAAATATATGAAAACATTGTAGTTGTTTCTCAAAAGACTAAATTTCAAAGTCAAAAGAGATCTGAGTTTTGTGGAGATCATCTTTTAGCAACCACGTTTGTTCTTAGCAGAAGAAACAAATCAAAGTCGAAACAAGCGAAACAAAAATAGTCTGTTATGTTTGTCGAACGAAGCTTTTTGAAAGCTCTCTTTCTGAGAACAGAGTCTTTTGCTTGCCAAATTGTTCCAAAGTGTAAAATTTACACAAATTTGGAAAAGGTTTTGCTTTTGTCGAAATAAACAAGTTTGACAAATCCGAAATAGTTTGCGTCGAAGACAAAATAGTTTGCTGCAGTTTTCGAACTATCTGGTTCTCTTCAGCACGACGAAGAAGTCGTGGAACGAAAGTTTTGCAGAACGATGTTCCTAAAAGCAGTTCAAAATCAAAAATTACCTGAGTTTTGAAAGAAAAATTACCTATACCTGAAAATCTTACATTTTGACATTGATATTTTACATTTCTCCAGCTAGATAAATGATCTAGCTGGATAAAACTCAAAGAAACACACAAAATTCAGATCAAAAAGTGATCTGAGTTTTGTGGAATTACGAATTTCGCTCAAAATAAGCTACGTTTGTCCTAAGGTTGTCAGAGGCGATGTTGTCTTCCTCAACTCATTACAATAAATATAAAAATTTACCTAACAATAAAGACATGACATTCAATAATGATTTTATTGATTATTTACAGTTCAAAAAATTAACTATTTATAACTCGGTTATCTCAAGAGCTTATTTCTTGCTTAAAGTACACAAAGAAGAACTCTTCTTTCGCCCTATTATTTCAGCTGTCGGTTCAGCTACGTATGGGCTAGCTTAGTTGTCAGCTAAGTTGTTATCTGTTGCCTTCGATGACAAAATTGAGTTCAAGGTAAGAAACACCATTTATTTCGTTGGTGAAATGAGAGGAAAGACTTTACCTGGTAGTTTTGTAGTTGCGTCTTGGAATGTGGTTAGTTTTTTTTACTAATATTCCTGTTGATTTGGTGGTTATTATTAAGGAACAATGGTCATATTTATCTGATGAATTTGATGTCAGCAAGGATCTTTTTCTTAGAGAATTCCCAAGTCCCATTCATTAAGAAGTACGTAGATGACATCAATTTATCCATTCTAGTTGATTCGGAGGATACGATTCTCAGTGTTTTCAATAACTTCAACAATCATATCCAGTTCACGATTGAAAGTGAATTCCTTGCAATTGTAAGATTCTTTGTGTTAATTTTACAATTACTCATTTTCGTTGTATTTAGTTTAAGGATTACCCTGAAAAAGCTTTAAAATAAAAGCGAAATATTGATAAATTACATAAATTGCCTTTTTTTCTCGATTGATTCTATCCTGGAATAGTTTTATCTTATTTTTGCCAATGGGATTAAAAATCTCCTCTCTGAGTGTTAGTCTTTTAATACAATCAGGGTAAATAGACTTCTGATAATTGTTTTCGGATATTTTGCAACCTCGGCTTGCTTAAGCTGCTTAAATACTTTAATAACTGAACCATAATGGCAAAATGAATGTCTTGATTTGGGTGAGTGTGCCACTCTCGACGTTTATGCGTACAAAACTATTCATGGTAATAAAGCTTTGGTAATGTCAATACCTTCGACCAGCAATCACAACGCTTTTACTTTCTCAAGGGTTATGACATGTTTTAGTAGCCAAAAAAATAAAATTACTAGATTTACAAAAACGTAATCGGAATAAATATTTTTTAGCTACGTCATCAAATCCCCAAAACATTAAACATACGTCTGCTGATTTAATACGAAAATTTTTACTTTAATACGAAAACTAAAAATGCTATGATAATACGTTTTGGATGAAAATTGTTTGTAATAAAGCAAAAAAAAAAAAATTAATCCCGATCCGATTTGACTGAGCTATGATTATTACGAACCCTATCATCACAAACAACAAAATGAATTTTATCTAAAGATTTAAAAACGGTTGATGGGATTAATTTTAATTAAAATTGTTTATAATCACAAAAACGTAATCCATAAGCGATTTCGTTTCAACTATTTAAAATAACTTTATAAAATCCTCAAGTTTTTAAATGATGAAAATTCTATCTAATTATGAAAACGAATGCTCTCTAATTTGCAGCTGAGTCGTATAACGCAATAACATTAACACAACTTAATTTTAATTAATTTTTGTTTTCATGTTTTCCGTGTTTTTCGTTCAACATCGTTGCAAGCGACGATGAAACGACGACGGAGTAACGCAAAACTTATAGCGGGTTACATCCCCCAAAGTAAATATTTGTCGAGATATTTAGCCGGTTTGCTAGGTAAACCAGCAGCAGCAGATCCTCGTAATGATCGTCCATAAATTCGGGATAATTAGCGCGAAACACGGCCTACCCGACCTGATTTATGAACACGACGCGGTCGCAATACTTGATATTTAAGGATTAATTACGGCGCGACTCCTATTCGTATTAACCGTACCATTAATCCTTCCAGGTGGTTCGTGCCTGCACCTGGTGGAGTTGAGGATTCCAAGCCACGCCGTTCGCGACCAAAGCGCAAGGTTGGAATGCCACTTCGACCTCGACGGCGAAACTTTGTATTCTGTCAAATGGTACAAGGATGGCAACGAATTTTATAGATACGTACCAAGAGATAGTCCACCAGTGCAGATATTTAAACTTCCAGGTGTAACGGTTGATGTAAGTACTTATTATTAATTAATTAATATTATTTATATGTTGTTTAAAGTATCAATTTGATTTAAATATTTATTTGTTTACGAGAATAATACAATTATAACAAAATTATCTGGTAATTATGAAAATAATCATATTTTGAAACGATACCTAAAGCAATTAATAGTTATTCAATGCAATTTTAATTAATTTTAAATTGTAATTGGAACGAATAATGTACGTGTATTGTTATTTTGAAATTGAACGCGTGCAATTTTTGCGCCAGTCATACATGACGGGGCTAGGTGATTTTTAATACATGACGACGCGAATAATATGGGGGAAAATAGACGGTGATGTGAATATGGAGCGTTGTGTTTTCCGGATGTGAGGTTTAACGTTATTTTAAACAAATCGGGCTTGTGGAAATTCGACCGCACATTTTGGGCTATCGCGAGATTCCACTGTAATTTTCCATTTAATTGTCGTATAATTACACGGGCGGACGAGAATTTTTCACGTCCGATTCCGCGCAAACAAGCAGCTCGCGAATCGTTTTACATTCGGAAAAAATAAATTGAATAAACAAGGAAAAAAGCTGACGCGCGCTTCACATTGTAGTGTAGAGGCATGTGCATAAATCGAAACGGGCAATTTTCGGTCGCCGATAGCCGTGCTAAATAAATAGAGCCTCTGCTCGCATTATATATGAAAATTATCCGACCGATGTTTGCTTATCGTTTACCATAATCCGGATTATAGCGTTCGATCGGCATTTCGAAAACGAGCGACCGTTTCGCACACAAATACTTCATCCGCAATCTTCCCAATGCCGCTTTTGGTGAATGTAGCGGTTCCATTTGTTTGGCCACGTGTCGTCGGTAATGAATGTCGAGTGTGGCAAATATACGATATCGATTCTTTTCTGATACAAACGTGACAATTTCAAGTATCAATAACAATTCCCTTGTACATATATGCTTCAGATATCTAAAAATCGTTTTATACATAACTACGTAATATAGGTCAAAAGTTCGACACGCTCACTGACATTACCGGAGAAAAAGACTTAGACCTTATCGTCGGCAATGTCTTAAATGTCAAAAAATGTGGCATTAAAAAGGAGTTAAGGAATATAAAATATCACCTCATTTCACACCAATAGAGGAGTTTGAAATTATTATTAATAAGCAAAATCTTGATATAAAGGATTAATATGGGGGAATAAATTTAATTTCCACTTTAAACTGTTTGAATAAATAATTTTAATAACAATTAAAACTAGAGCTAACACTAACACTAGATCTAATACTAAAGAAGAAAGAAACTTGTCCGCTGAAAGCAATATCTAGTCCAAAAGCAAATAGTCTTGAGCACACAATGCCTGATCTTCTTTTAGCAGTCTTCCATTAGCAGTATGTAGTCCTGTATTAGTAACAGTATCTAACTTTCTGGAAGGAGTATTTAGTCTTCCATTAGCAATATATAAAGTTGTATCAACCGTTTCTCTCTGAAAAACAATATCTAATGTTCTGCCAGCAAAATATAATCTTTTGCAAATAAGAAATAGTCTTCTTTAAACAATAAGTAGCCCTTTGCAAATAAAAATAATGGGTTCTGCCAATACTATCTAGTTTTCTGTCTTAAGTATCTACTCTACTGCCAGCAGTATCTAGTTCTCTGTAAACAGGAGATAGTCTTGAGCAACTATAATTTAATTTTATCTTTATTTTATTTTACTTCCGAAATTACAGGGTTGCCCCTAATTACAAATTTCAGAACTTAAGTCTATTAGTACATAATATAACAAATAAAAACAAACGAAACAACCAAGATCGAGCATAAATGTTAATTAACGCATCACAGAACGCGCGGAGGATATGTTGAACCAAAACTTAAAAAAGAAAAAATTAACAGAATTACATCACAAATTACAAAATTCAATGATAAAAATCAAGTTTGGCTACTAGGTGGCTGCAGCACTTATCAAAAGTGTCAAATGTTGTTTAAACGATCTAATATCAATGCCAAACAGAGGTATGAAGGAAGAAGCCGACAGTGTGTTGTACAGTGAAAGGATTCTAATAAGAGGAGAATTTCGTCTCAGTTCAGTTGAAAAACGAGGAATATAGAAAAATTTCTTTAGCCTACCACAATATGCAGGCGCATAGAAACTAATATTTTCTAATATTAATGGAGCATTTATACTATTATTCAATATTTTTTGTAGAAAACAGAGCGATATAATTTTTCTTCTGAGAGACAACCTGGTGATCTTAAATAATTTGCGTGCAAATTCGTACGATCTAAAACCAATGAAAACATGGAATTTTTATAGTAGAGATACCTAATAAATTTATTTTGAATAGTTTCTATTAAATTAGAATGAAGAATTGACACGGGATCCCATACTATTACCGCATATTCCAGCTTAGATCGCACTAAAGAATTGAACAGTAATTGCAGCGTCTGTAAGTTTGAGAAACTGTACCCATTTCTACTGACAAATCCTAAGAGACGCAAAGCTGTGGTTGCTGTGGCTTTAATATGTTCAGCAAAGTATAAACCAGGCGAAAACAGCACACCCAAGTCTCTCTTTTTAACAACACACCTCAAATTCACATTATTTATTTTATATACAAATTCTATCAGCCTCTTACTCAATTTAGACACATTAAAATGGAGCTTGTTGAGCCGACACCAATTAAATACGTTATCTAAATCAGACTGTAAGGACCGGCAGTAATCTCTTATATGTAGTATCTAATCTTCTAGAAGTAGTAGGAATTTTCTGTAAACCGCCTAATCCTCCGCCAAAGGCAATATCTAGTCTTCTATAGTCACTATCTAGCCTTCTAGAAGCAGTAGATAGTCCTCTATAACCAATATATAATCTTCTGTTAACAGTATCTACTATTCCATTAATAATATCTAGTCTTCTACTGGCAGTATGAAGACTTTTGCGGATAATATGTCGTTTTGGGTCGTCCTTAGAGTGTCCGTTATATGAAAATGTTTTATTTGCACTTTAAACTGTTTTATAAATAATTTAAATAACAACTAAAACTAGAGCTAACACTAACACTAGATCTAACATTAAAGAAGAAAGAAACTTTGAAGATGTAGTGTTACTTCTAGTTTTGGTTCAATGAAGAATATACAAAAGTCTAACGCTGAATAACAAGTAAAACTAGAACTAACACTAGCATTAGAACTAAGACTAGACCTAGACTAGAAACATTCGGGTTTACCCGTCTAAACAGACGTATGGCTAAACCCAAGTGTTTCTAATTGTAGGTCTAGTCGTAGTCCTACTTTTAGTTCAATAAAAATCTATAACAATCTAGCAATGAATACCAAGTAAAACTAGAAATAACACTAGACCTTAGATCTAGAAACATTCGGGTTTAGCCGTCTTAAGAGACGCTCGGCTAAAACCGAATATTTCTAGTTCTAGGTCTAGTGTTAGTTATAATATTAATTGTTAGCTAACACTAAACCTAGAACTAGAAGCATACGGGTTCAGCTGTCTTAAGAGACGTACAGCTAAACCCGAAACTTTCTAGGTCTAGTGCTAGTTCTAGTTTTAGTTCAATGAAAAATACACAACAATCTAACACTGAATAAGTTTAGCCGAGCATCACTTAAGACAGCTAAACCCTAATGTCTCTAGTTCTAGGTCTAGTGTTATTTCTTACAATTATTATCATAATATATAATAATTGTTACCTAACACCAGACCTAAAACTAGAAGCATTCGGGTTTAGCCGTCTTAAGAGACATACAGCTAATCCCGAATGTTTCTAATTCTAGGTCTGGTGTTAGTTCCACTTTTAGTTCAATAAAGATATACAACAATCTAGCACTAAATAACAAGTAAAACTAGAACTACCATCTTTGATTTATACATCGTATAGACAACTCGGCGAATACCCCAACTTTATCTATAAATATGGAATAGAGCAACTTGGGGAATAACCGGAACTGGATTCTATCTACTTGCGCTAACATTTATATTTAAATACATTAATGTATTAAGTAGATAATTAATACTATGATTTAAAAATATTATGTTCGTTATATCCGAAGATTGTTCTAACGAGATCCGTTATATCGAGGATTTACTGTATTTAGAGATTATAATCGATCATTTCCTATCGCACTCGTAAACATAATAGCGTCATATCGAGCTTTTATTGAATCTATTGTGATTATATTAAACTATAATATTAATAGCTTTTGATAAGAGAGCGTTTATAACGTCGTAAGATGAATCATTTTGATAAACAAATAAAAACGATACTTGAAAATAAAAGTAAAAGCTTTTTGAGGTAATGTAGGGTGTTAATGAAACGATAATATCTAAGATGGAACTTTAATGTGAGGTATAAAACATAAGATTTTTATGCTTTAACTAAATTACTTTAACAAGACAGGAGAAAAATTAAACAAGAAATCCTCGGTGGTCTTATGAAAGAAATACTGCCTTAATATCTTCGCTGGCAAACCTTAAGAGGAGCGATGCATCATAGAAGGGCTGGTCCTAATTACCCGCAAGCAGCATCGGTATTACACTTGGCCCAAGCAGTTAGGACCGCATTGGCCGACATTTAAGACTTGAGTTGTTCCCGTTGACGTATAGCTTCAAAAACTTTTATTATTACAAAACTTATTCAATTTTTTAATTTTTTTATCTTTAACCATCTGTTAAGTGATGTTTAAAATTATCTAATGATTTAAAAGAGCGGAAGAAATTAATACACAATTCGCTATTAAAGTTAATCGGTTCAATTACATTATCGCTGTAAGCGAGTTTGCCGATGAACTGGCTTGAAAGTTAGTAGTTGGGTGGCCGTGGGGCGGCGAAGAGGAAAGATTCAAAATCGCCGTCGCAAAATTAATTGGACCGGCGAAAATTAGAAACACTTAATTAAAGAGATATATCAGAAAAGGAATAAGAAAACGGCCGCGCCGCGGCGGCGGGCTACTTTCAAACTAATTAATACGCGACGCGAACTTTGATT